TGGCCTTGGTGTTATCAGCACCACACTCTACCGAGTGAGCCACAGGCCGGCCCTATCTCTCTTCTTTTTTTTGTTAGCCATGCTAATGGTTTGTCAATTTTATTTATCTTTTCAAAAAACCAACTTTTTGATCACTGGAAATTTCTTGGTGGCCATTCTCCTCTTCCCAGTGTCCCTTCCATTCGATCACGTTCTTTTAACCTTTTCCCAATTTCAAAGCCCATCCTCAGGTCAAAGCTTGACTAGCCACCTTTCCTCTCCCTTTAACACATATACAGAGCTGTGGATATGCTCTCTGTTTTACCAATGCCTTACATTTATGTAGGAACGTTTACGCAGTTATGATTTCATATCAACTTGATTCTACCTCTGAATTTGCAGCTGTGACCTGGGTGTATTTCTTATCTCCTCAGAGAGCTCCCTAAGAATAGTAAGTTTGTCCCATGATTCCTCCTTTCTTCCCACAATGACTCCAGCAAGGTTTTGTGGACCAGAAGGTGCTCAGAACTTAGGTTTTGGATTTTTTCTTTTTTTTTTTTTTTTTGCAGCTGGCTGGTAAGGGGATTCAAACATTTGACCTTGGTGTTATCAACACTGTGCTGAAACCAACTGAGCTAACTCTGAACTTAGGTTTAAAACCATCCTTCCATAGGGCTGGCCCGTGGCTCACTCAGGAGAGTGTGGTGCTGATAACACCAAGGCCATGAGTTCGGATCCTATATAAGGATGGCCGGTTAGCTCACTTGGGAGAGCGTGGTGCTGACAACACCAAGTCAAGGGTTGAGATCCCCTTACCGGTCATCTTTAAAAAATAAACAAATAAATAAATAAAACCATACTTCCAAATGCCTGGAACCAGGTTTAGTGCCTGGAACCAGGTTTAGTTTCAGATCCTCCATTACGGAAATGAAAATACAGCTGGTCCTGGACTGAGAAATGGCTGTCTGCCTTAGACAGAGATTGGGCTCATAGATTCAAGCAATCCCAGCCCTATCCTTTCTACACTGCCAGATTATTCCCCAGGAAACAGAGGCCCAGGGCTTGCAAAGATCTTCCCCTCCCAAGAATTTGAGTGGTATGGGGAAAATTTGCAACCTAAAATCTCTCTGGAAGAGATATCTAATTTTCTTTCTTATAAATGTATAGTTACTTCAGAGAGCAAAGTCCAAATTGGCCTGTAGATACACAGGAGTAAGTGACAGAGGCCAGGATTGCCTTCTCAGAACCAACCGGGCACCTTACAGAGGCCAAGGCATTGGGGTCAGGCAGGCCACTATGGCTCCTTCCAGAAAAGCAAGGTACT